AAAAAGGGAAGGAATAGTATGTCGTGACAAATGGGGTTGTATAAACGGGAAGAAAAAGCCTTGAAGAATAGCCTGTGAAGGTCTTGTTAGAACTGAGCACATGTATGCACTAGTGAAAATACTCTAGAAGTCACGGTTTCCTCCAAATGTGGCATGATTTGTGTCATTCCTGATGTATGCTGGATTTTCTTTGTGTCTTGAAAATGAATTATTTCGTTGTGGTGTTTCCTTGAGCGGGGAGTGCACAGTTTCAAACTCCGTCTGCTTGTAAGAACGCCGGAGCTAGTTACCTTGTTTTCCTGCCATTTATCTTTACGTACGGTGTTGTAAGGAAGAACTTGACCACCAGGAGCTGCCTGTGTTTAGTAGCAGTTATACAGTAGGTCTCGAGAGCATTACGAAATGGGGGTTGTGTAGTCAAAATGCTCTGCCTAGATAGTTACCGTGACTGTTTTTTTGGAAATGAATTTGTTGCTGTTGCTATATCCATGCTGTTCTATATGCTTTCCAGTTTAGGTAAGGGATATTGGCATAGCAAATACCGTAAAACTTCAAAACTGAAAATATGAAGTGGAGTTAACTTCACTGATTCAGTAAGCCTGAAAAAAGAACCGGCCTCATTAATGAATATGTACTTAGCACCTTTGAGGATTGGCACGGATGCTGTAACTTCGGCCCTGAACATTGCAGGGCTTCAGCTGTGGGATGTGTCTGTAGTCCCTGAAGCAGCATTCCGCCGGCGCTTGCAACTTGGTAAGGAGAGAGTAAAAATAGCAATGGTAAACTTTCCATCTGTATTACTCAAAGCTGAAGCCCTGAGCGGAGGGGGCTGAGGGGTGGAATCAGTATCCTATGCTCATAATTAAAGATGCTTTATGATAATACATAGTGTGTATATAGTGCTGTCAGCCAGAAAACATGAAGTACTTTACAAAGGCAATTGATACCATCATCTGTGTTGTGTGAGGAAACTGAGGGGGGATGCAGCCCGAGCCACAGCCAAGCAGACTGAACTAGACATAATTGTGTCCCATCGTCCTTCCCTGTACTCAGTCAGCAATATTCCCGATCTCCCTGTCCCGCTGACACGTCGGTGTGACCCAGGTCTCTTCTTACTCTGTGCAGAAGTAAGTAGAAGAGTCTGGGGGGTGGATTCTTAATAGCCAACTTCTGCGCATATAATTCCTGTTGGCATAAGGAGACCAGAACTGCTGGTAAATCTAATTTGTATAAATTGAGGCAGTAACACAGGGAAGGAAAAAAAAAAACACCATGTTACTGTTAACTGTGAAGTGTGTTGGTGCCTTAGCTAGAGCTGGCCTGGATTGGGAAGTGGTAGGTGCAGATGGCTGTAATGCTTGTGAAGAGAGCTGGGTTTTTTTCTGCACGCATAAGAAATGTAATCCGTAATCCACATAAATACTCATGGGTTATTGAGAGTGGACTTGGCTGGAGAACTTTGCCACCTGTAAGTGTTTGTGGGGAAGGGGAGCAGAAATGCTTGCATCATTTTAAATGGCAGTAGCTTTGGGCTTCTTGGCCATTGACTTCCTTTTGGAGGAAAACTTTGCCACCTGTAAGTGTTTGTGGGGAAGGGGGGCAGAAATGCTTGCATCATTTCAAACGGCAGTAGCTTTGGGCTTCTCGGCCATTGACTTCCTTTTGGAGGAAGAAGCATGCCTGCCTTTTGCTCCTTTGTTTTGTGGTTTGTTTTTTTTTTTTTTTCCCCTTGTCAAATCAGTAGTTTACATATGCCCACAGTAACTGAATTGCTTCCTACTTTGCTTTGGCTGAAGGCTGGTTTCCACATTGCGTTGTTGCCCTGCTTGTTTTGTACTCTGATGGGCACCACAGGAGAAGTGCAGGAGCATACCCATAAATCCAGCCTGGGTCTCCCACTCCGTCGGATGGAGCTCTTGTTTCCACAGAGACCAAAGCTTGTGTGTTTCGAGGAAGATATTTTTAGGAGCTGATGGAAGGACTTTCTTCCTTAATAGGAGAGCAGATTATAGCAGGATTCCTCTTTTCTTAGAATGTCTTCTGCATTTTTCTATCACATTCTTTCCTTTTTTCCTATGTCGCTTAGTTTCCCTTTCATTGCCACCCTCTTACCCATGTCTGCTCTTCCACTCTTCTGTGTCACTTTCTGTGTCTCAACTCCTGTTGCACAAGAACCTAAAACCACAAGGGAGTTTGCAGAGAGTGGGGAAGGGACCCAGCCTTTGCTTAAAGGATATTGTATTTTAAAGATAAAATCCTCAGATCATTTTGTACCTCAGTTGAACCCTGCTTGCTGAGTCACCAGCTGGGCGGCGTTCCTGAAGACACAGGGTATCACTGAGCCGAGCCCTGGCCTTCAGCTCCGAGAACCTTGCCCGTGTCAATTATTAATGGCCCTTGCTTACGAGTTGTCATACGTCCTTTGGCCTTGCAATAAATACATTTTATGTGCAGCTGTTTCTGCTGATGCTTGTGGTAAGCTTGATGTCTCACCTTCTGATTGATGGCCTAATGGTAAAGGGCTTAAAAAGATAAATCTGTTACACTAACACTTCTGTCTTGGAAAGTTGGACTGTCCCTAACTAAAACAGCCCCAGAGATGCTTGTAGTTGTCAGTGGGAGTATGAAGTAGAAGAGACATTTCACCTAATGACAGGCTGCAAGTGTACTTGCTCAGTGTCCTAATACCCTTTTATGATTTTTTTGGTCTAAATTGTCACATTGCCTTTCTGCAGAGTTAGATGCTGAATAGTTGTAGCATTTATTTTGTGATGAAGGGCTACTGTAAATTTAGAGAGATCTCTGGGTTGTTTTAGTGATGCTATAGACTGTATCCAGCTTTAACTGGCATACTATGAAATTGAATTTTTTTTCTAGAATATCTATTGCCATAGCAGCAAGGTGCTCCACTTAGAATATGAGGGTTTTTTTCAGCAACAAAATAACATCAGAAAGCATGAATCCAAAGCAGATAAATATTGAAGAAAGTTGCCATAGAAAGGCAACTGTATGTGTTGAAGGAATTCTCTTGCTACCCTATGCTGTTCTGTTATCCTGTGATTCCCATTCACACATCTGTTTCCATATTCTGCTTAGACTGTAAACCTTTTAGAAAAGGGACTTTACACTCACGATGGTACTGGAGTTCAGAATGGTATTGCAGAACCTACCAGCACTAGTATCATTCCATCCCTATGTAAGTGCCATGTAGAGGATGTTGTTCCAGTCCCATTTTCTTGTATTCCCTGATGGTGGATGCATTTCTGCCTGGCTTTAATCCCATGCAGCAGCTGGTAGATCAGCAGACTGGATGCATGCGCTGCCTCCAGCCCTCCCCACCCAGCAGCCGGAATGAAGTCTGTGAGGACAAGACTCTGCTCCAAAAACCCTGTTAACATGCATACCAAAATCAACTGGGCTCTACTGTGCGCTGGACTATTTCTAACAGTAAGGGAGAAAAAAATTCTCCTAAAAGCGCTTCACAACATCTCTTTAAAAACATCAGGCCATGGCTGTGGCAATAGACCACCAACGTGAGCTGCTGCTTGGTTACCAAGAGGATAAAATTTTACTCCAGGGAGATATTTTTATACAGTAGCTTATTCATATTACAGTAGATGCCAAAAGCACCCTTATGCTCAGCAGTATAGAAATATTAAGAAAATTCCAGTCTCACAGAGGCTACAATCCAGTCTAGTTTTACTTCATCGTAAAATCAGGCAATGTTGACAGCCTTTAGTTGGACGATTAGTACTGGATGATTCTTCTATTGTGATTTTAATTATTAATTGATCGTCCTTCCATTGTCATTTTCTCTTGTGCACATACCCCATCATTCAGCTGCTTGAAAGTCAAGTGCTACCCAGGCCTGCCGTACATCTCGCTATCAGCTTGGCAAGGAAGTTGAAACCTTCCAGGTGTATTTTGGGTTTGATTTTCATTGTCCTAGCAGTACAGCAGGACTGTAGGCAGTGTAGACTGGCAAAAAGGCATGTTCTGCACAAATTATTTTCTACTAGAAATGTGTTCTTTTCTGCATTTGATTATTCTGTATACAGCTTGTAATAGGAAGTGGAGTTATACATAGGAATCTTGTGGGTGAATATTTGGTAATGAACTGAGTAACAGCTTTGACTTGCAGCTTTCCGACCAAGTTGTGGTGACCAAATACTATTGTACTCTTCACTTCTTCCTAGCCACTGTCGCCTCCTCCTGTGCCCCTTCCACATTCCCTTATATTTTGCATACTTTAAGTAAAAACTGAATTAGTATTATCCTCAACCTTTTTGCAGCTGCGAAACAGCACACAAGCTGGGGCAGTTTTACAGACTGAATAGGAATATTGGGGAGCCATCCAGGATGCCCTGTGCACCCTGAATTTTATGGAATGATGTATCTTTATAGTTACAGAATAAGCTTTATGTATTTTAAACTGGAAAAGAAAAATGAGGAATAGCTTACACTGATCAGAAATTGATAAAATGAGCAGAACTATCCTCTTGAATTTTTATGCTCTTTGCTGTCTTTAGCTACTCTAACAAGGCAGTTTGGTCTCTTTGTTCCAGCTGCTTGGAAAGAAAGGTGGGCAGAGGAATAACTATCTTGTTTAACGGTGGAAAGGTTGTTAGCCTCCAGAATGTCTAATTGAAATTCCTGGGAGTGACTCTGGATAGAGGGGAAGTCTAATTTATAATTTGCTGTGCTGTGGAGTGAAAGATAAGAGATGTTCCCGAAGACGCTGAAGATTAACGAACAAATTGACATTCCGTCTTTCAGGACAGCTCTCTTCTGCCTGTGTAATATTTTTATTATTTACTTTACTGGACTGTTTTAAAGTTTAAACATGTCTCCTAGGAGTAGATTTTAAAGAGCTACAATGGGTAGGAGGGATGCTTTGGTTTTTATCCCTGTCTCCTTTTGTTTGTGTTTTGCTTTTGTGATGTGAAATGTGTTGTGGTTTGTCTTGTCTTTTTTTAAAGGGATGTTTCTTTTCTCTACAGGTATGGTGTCAGTCCTGAGAACATTATTCTGTATGGTCAGAGTATTGGTACTGTCCCTACAGTAGACCTGGCATCTCGGTACGAGTGTGCAGCAGTAATCCTTCATTCTCCCTTGATGTCTGGGTTACGGGTAGCTTTTCCTGACACTAGGAAAACCTATTGCTTTGATGCTTTTCCAAGGTACGTATAAATGCTGCAAAGAGGGTTGCTCTATACTCAGCATGCTCTTTTGGTGTTTAAAGGGACTAGTTGTGTAACTCCCAGGGAACTTTACTGAATTGTCACCTGCATTTTAAACTTCAGGTATGCATACCTTCTAAATCCAAGCAGAGATTCACCACGTAAGAAAGAGGCTGATGTCAGTCTCAAACTGACATGGTAGTCAGCTCGATGAACAAATAAAGCCTGAATGTTTACAACTAATTCTTCTGTTCTTTGTGTTACGGGTTGTTAATCTCAGGATTTTTGTGCTGTCAAGTTTGGAGTAGTAGCTTAATAACCGATAATATACTACTAAGTCCTTTGGGCTAATGACTAACAAATTAGTAATTGTACACTGTCACCATCTCAGTCAGCTTTGATTTAGGAGGTAATATGATGTCATGAAATGGATGTGCTGTTTTCAAGCTGCTTGTTAGAATATTGCAATAGCTTTACTGGATAGGCAGAGAAAAAGGTATAGATAATTGCTGCTTTTAAGGGGAGAAAACGAGGGGGTCAGAGGCTCGAGTGTTAGACTGGTGTGGTTCGCTTTTCAGCTTGATTCTGCATTTATGTATAATCTCAAGGGAATGCATTTAGTGTTGCTTTGCCTTTCGTCCTTGTAAGTAAAAACACTTCTGCATCTTTGGTATGCTGCCCATGTAAAATCACTAAAGGTACAGGGGCTGGTATTTGTTCCTCCCTGATGGAGGCTGTGTAAGATCCTAATGTCTGTGACCAAAATAAGGTAAGTTACTGTTCCTCTTTTGGAAGATTTTGAGATTGTCTTAAGAAGCCCTAGAATGTTTTACATACTGAAAGCTATATGCAACTGGCTTCAAGATAAAACAGTTGCCTTTATAGCCTAGTGTTCCAGCTGAAAAGGAATTGCAACAGACCTAAGTTAGAGTATCCAAGTATTTGGGAATAGTAGAGGTTCTGGGAATAGCAGATGTTCTAGGAATCTTAAAAAACTTCTCATTTGACTCAGTTTAAATTTGAGGAGAATATGAAAGGGGAAGCCAGTGTATATAGACTGGCGGGGGGGTGTGGGTGCGTGGGGGGTGTGTGAGGGGAGGCACAGCTAAAAAGCTAAGTGGCCCGTGGAAGGGAGAAGACAAAGCAGAGGCTTGCTGAAGTCTTGTGCAAAGCTTGGCTTTGCTTCAGAAGGTTCATGTTTGCTGTAAGTGTAGTAGGGGGATAGTCATAGCATTTGTTATGTTTATTTTATTTTGGTTACAACAGATTAAAATTAGAAGGAGGGGGAGGCTGTAGACATAAATCTGTATGCCAAAACAGCTATAAGTAATGGTGGCCAAGTAATAGCGGTTCTCACAGTATCTGTATCCAGTCCCCATGTTTAGAATTCTTCCAAATAGGTAATTAATTAAATTGTTGAAGGTGCAGTCAGAATTTGAAACACTTACACTCCAATTCATTCATCATCCTCAAACCTGAAATCCAATGTTTACAAATGCTTCTGCGAGGGGGGGGAAAAAACAAAGCCTTAAAATAGCTCTGATTACAAAAGTAACAGTGATTAGCTGATACCAGCCAAATCAAATAACAGTTTAAAAAAGAAAAAGTGGGAGGGGGGAGCAGTGACAACGGGCGTACTGTAGCACTTGAGTATCTTGTTCCTGCCCTACTGAGCTGTTCCTTGCTGTCAGTCTGACTTCGCTGGTACTGTAAGCAGTGAAAATAAACAGCAGTGTGCTTTTATGAATGCGTGCAGCTCAACTGTCTGTCTTCACGGTGGGAAACAAAATAGTTCTGTGTGCACCTACAGTGAATTGCTATTATGTGCATTTCGTGTTGGGACTCCACGAGAATTTGGTCTCTGTAGATTTTTCTAGCTGCAGAGCGGTGTGGCTAAGAATACTAAGTGAGCCTAATGTGTGGTTTAAATACCGCCTTATGAGTCGCTGAGTTGGCAATGGGACGCTTTCCAGTTTTCTGCAAAATACAAATATTATCTAGCTTAATGGTCCATGAATATATGTGGAAAAAATAGTTTCATTATCTAAATACTGAAGTGAAATGGGTTTCCTAGTTTCCTACAATAAATGAGAACTTGGTATCTAGCCACTAAAATCATGTATGAACATCTCTGTAGCTGTATGTAGCTGACACGTCTGTCACACCATGGAACGCGAGGACAGACCCTTCATGGGCTTAAGTCTTCAGGTTATATAGCACGTTGATTATAAAGTATTTATATTTGGCTGTGATATTAATTTGGGGATGAAAATTATGGAAAAAACAATCTGTATTATTCTGATGTCTCTCTTAGGTTCTCGGGATATTTTTCTGTATTCAGTGTAGTTGCACACTACTCAAGTTCCAGGCAGGAAAAGTGAAATATGCTGCATTTTAATTTTAAATAACACTTTTCCTCTTTAAAGGACATGAAGCCTGGTTTTTTTGAGAAGTATTGAGACAGACAGAAATGTGTTTACACTTAGCTGTTTACTGGAATAAAGTTCTCTAGAATACTAAATGCTGAGATTTATGTGTAAGGTTTAGTGCTTCAGTCTACATCTTAATTTTTAATTAACTTTATATTTTGATAAAGCTTATTTAAACCTTTTTTTAAGCCAGTGTATGTTGGCATCTGTATTTTTTAATCATTTTAAGCAGCCTTGATCACTTTGTAAAATCTCTAGTCATACCAAAATTGCATGCTTTCTTGTTATTCAGGAGCAGGAAAATCCAAACACCTTTTATTAGATAGCATAAAGAAATAGACTTGTCCTTCTCTCAGACTGAATATTACTGATACTTGTTTTTCCACCCACTTCATCCCATATTCTGCCCAATGCCCTGAGCCAGTTCTTCCATTGGTTGATGTAAGTGGAGCTGGTAGGAAGCTGAGAGTTCATCAGCACTTGGTGTCTATACACTGATCTGGAATTATTGGTAACAACCAATGTGAAATGGCTATCTGGAAACAAAAGCTGGTGCCCGCATGAAGACAGTCGGAGAAAGCTGCTGATTACCACTTTGCAGTTCATGTGCTACCAGTATGCTTCATAACTGGGGTTTTTGGCCTGAACTCTTAGATGTGAAGGTGCCTTTGTTGCTCTTCCCTTTCCTCTGAACCGGTTTTCCTGTGAGAGGGGGTCACCAGCTATGTTGGTGAGAAGTTGGGTGCATGAAGTAAAATCCTGTGTGAGCCTCTTTCGGTTTGCAGTGAAATACCCTTGCATAATGCTCTTCTCCCACATTTTTCTCTCGTTGTTTGAACTTACACAGTCAGTACAAGGAACGGATTGTTTTTCTTTAGCTGAACCTGCCCAATTTGGGGGTTTAAAGACAGGTTCAAACCTCATGGGCTGAGACTTATTTTTATTGAAGTCTTAGGACTGGAATGTAGTTAATTAGTTCCTAATCTGTTAAACTGGAAGGTGATAATGTATAATGTGAAGAGTCCACACTGGCAGCATGTCCCATGGAACCTTACTTGCCCCTCAATGGTTTCTGTGATAGATATACTCACTGTTTTGGTTTTTTGGGGGTTTTTTTGTGTGCCAGACTTTATTTGCATGCTGCCCATTCGTGCTTCTTGTCATTAGAACTGGTGGGATGATGGTGATGGGAGCACAGGCTCCTGTTTACATGTGTGTTTTGGGAGTGAGCCTTATTCCATATCACTTGGGCACAATTCCAATGTTTTGCAGCCATTTAAAAACATGCAGTGGTAACTGGATCATGTATCGGTAGCTAAGCTTGCTTTCTTTAATGGTCTGAAAGGTAAAGCCCCAAACTGAGCTGTATTTTTCTTTTTCATCCCCCAGCATTGACAAGATATCTAAAGTAACCTCTCCTGTGTTGGTAATCCATGGTACCGAAGACGAGGTAATCGATTTCTCCCACGGCCTGGCCATGTACGAGCGATGTCCACGAGCGGTAGAGCCCCTCTGGGTGGAAGGGGCTGGGCATAATGACATAGAGCTTTATGCACAATACTTAGAGAGACTAAAACAGTTCATATCTCATGAACTTCCCAACTCCTGAAGAAACCTACCTGATTTTACCTCAGTTACTGTGAACGGAAGAAATTACCTGGTTTTGCACATGCTTTAACTGGATAGCTGTAATAGCTTTATACTATGAAGAAATACCCTGTCTTTAGGGTGTTCTAATCAAACATCTGATGAAATTTGTCTTTTATATCTGGAAATTATTCTACTAATGCACACAAATATGGTCAACTACTGTAATTCCAACAATTTTTAGCTTTGTTGCCCTGAAGGAAGTGGGAATACTAGCTGCTTATGGGGACACTTTTTACCTAGTGCTGTATTAATCGAAGATCAGTTTTCTCTGACTCACTTCAGATCGTTTATAATTCTGTCCTATAAAGACTTCTTTTCCCAGTGTTCTCAGTGTGGAGAACACAACTGTTACGAGCTACAGCTTGTTCTGAACAATCAGGCATGGGTTCAATCTAAGGGAGTACTTCCTCTGTAAAGTTTCTAGCTGTGGTATTGTAACTGGAAAGTTATTGTGATGAAGTTCCCCCGCCTCCCTTCTAGTGTTCTTTTGTTAACTTACTGATCTTCCCGAGTAAATTATTTAAATATACTTTTTCCTGAAAATAAACAAGCTACTATATGGGGCTAAACTCTGTAATGACCTCTCCATTACCTGTATAAACATAACTGGAATATTCTTAAAGGAACTAGGGACAAAATTGCTTTTGTTTTAAAAATAAATGTGTAAATTTACTACTAGAAAACTCATTTTAATATTCAGATGGTCTGAATAATAGCCATAACAGACATTTCCTTCTGTAAAGCATTCCTGTAGACTTTTTAAAAGTACTGTACATATTTGAATTTACATTGTGCATAGATTCTTAATTGGTAGTTTTAATTTAAGTCTAGTTACAATAAACTGCAAAATTCTGGTTTGTATATGATTGAATACATTTTGTTAAAATATGTTTTTATCCCTATATTATTTTGCTATTAAAGTTTTATAAAGTTTCCAGGACAAAAAAAAAATTTACACATTTATGTTTTGATGAATTTATGTAACTAAATTTTCATTGAGCTGATCTTTTTAGTTTAGGAGTAATTTGATTCTTTGACACTGGAATCGCACAGATTATGCATCAGAAATGCAAGACACTTAAAAATTGTTACACTACTAGCATAGGTCTAATTTTTCCAAATTTAAAGGCCTTAAATGTACTGTAAGCCTCAGATTGTTGTATAAATTGATCGCGATTGATTGCAGTTTGTGTCCTGTTGCTAGAATGCAACACAGTGATTGTAATGGAATAAAGGATGCATGGATTAGAGCTCGCTGAATTTTTGAATCTTCTTTGGTGCATAATTTTCATATACAAGGGAAATGTAAATTACAGATTACTTAATAGAGTAACTTGAATTTCATGATTTAATTCCTTTCTTTCAAGGATAACTCTCCTAAAGTACAAAGCCACATTTCCATGAAGCTTGGTATGTAAATCAAATGTAAAAGAGCTTATTTTTAAATGGTGTTCAGCTGGTTTTAAGTAACGAAACATCATGATTCATTGCCTAGAAGAAATGTTTGAACGTAGTTGTCATGAGTCCTTACAACAGGCCTGCAGTTAATTTTCAGCACTGCAAGCATGTCTATTGTCTGTGACTATTGACTTGGCCCTGTTACTGTAAAAGGAGAAAAACTGGTATTTTCACGTACAGTGGGGGGAAATGAGGACGCCGTCCTGCTCCACATCATCTGGATCCTGAGAATTTGGATCTGTGCATCTGTCTTGTCCCAAGCAGCAGGGCTGCCAGCTGTTCTCTTGGTGTCTATTCCGGACAAAATTGGCAGGTTTTGCCTCATCATCACCTCAATCTTGCCACTTCCCTCCTGTATTTTAAACAAATGTTCAGATACATGTCCCTTTTTTTTTTTTTTTTTTTTTTTGCACCTTCATAAATCTGCAGTGGATTTTCTTCCATTCCATTTCTACATGTGTTCTTCTTGAGGCTATAGCCCTGTGGAAACTGCAAGTCTGTGGGATAGATATTCAAGATAATGTTTGGAAGTGTAAGCCTGTCCGTGCAGTGACTTGAGGAATTTTTCCTTAATTAGGCAATGTGTTTTGACACCCACATTGTATTGTTCTGAAAACTTTGACCTACGATGTTTTCTTCTCCTCATGACCCCTTGTAGCTACCCTTTTATTTCAACAAACTGGTACTTTTAACCTTCCCCCTATAAACTGATTTATTTTTTTTTAATTACTACTTTTCTAACTCCTGCAGTCATTTTTGTGACTTGTCTTTGCATTTGCTTTGCTTTTTGTCAGTGTTCCTCTGTTAATGAGAACCTCAGATCTGAATTCAGCACTGCCAGGTAGGTCCCGTGGTCTCTGCGCAGGCAGCCTGGGTTTGCAGTATTCTGGCTGAACATGAATTTCCACTTGCACTATCTCTTATTTGTCCAGATTCCTGCCTCACATTCTTAGAGGTGCCTCGTTGTTCTTCTGGCTTCTATGTGTCTGTTTTGCTTTGCAAAGTTCATCTACGTTTAATGAACACAAATGTTTTGTTGTTAATTAAAATGTTAATAACCTATCAGTGATCCACTGGTACGGATCTTCCTTCTCTCTTAATTCAATAATTCGCTTACCTGTTTGGTCGCTTAAATAATTTTCCTTGTAGCCCTATTCCATCCAATAGTCCTTAAATGAATTCTGAAACTTTTCCAATTCTCTGACATGTCCTTTACACAAAATAAATAGTAGTAGTGAGCTGCTTTGTATTGTAAACTTGTACCAAAGCATCTCTATTTCAGGCATTTCAAAACACTACTGCTGGTCAACGTTAGAATTATTAGTTGAAATAACCTGTGGCCAACTTATGGGACTACTTACAAGACAGTGGATTTCAGCCCCCCTTTACGAAAAAAGGTTAGAACAGACTTCTTAAATGCTGGGAAAGGGGACGATGTGAGGTGATGAAAGAGAAACTTTGGGCTAAAAAAATAGTTTGTGCCAGCAAACTGCTCACACTCTCTCATTTAAATGTGTAATGTATGGGGGCCTCTTCAAGAACTGGTTACACATATTTTAGAGCCACCACGGTGTCACTGTAAAAAAGGCTGTGCCTGGATAAACTCTGCAACGGGTCTTCCAAGGGCATAAGTGATCACTCACATTATTGATGCAGATGTGTTCTCCATTTTCTTGTGTGACTTGGCCATCTTTCTTCACATACATCGTACAGCCGTATATGATGTACAGCATCTTGTCGGGAAGGTGAGATGTGGCATGTCTGTTTTTCTGTTGGTGGCTGTCTAGTGTTTGTACTTTGAAAGAACCACAGGAAAATACTTGTTACAACTTCAAAGCTAGCATTTTCCAAGGAGTTTGATGTGCATCCTTTTAAAATTGATGTAACGGTTACAAATTTAACTTCACATGGGACCCTGTTACCTGTGGTGCCTCTGCTCCAGTTTTCTTCCTCGATCTTCCAGTTTTCTTCCTCGATCTTCCAGTTTTCTTCCTCGATCTTCCATGCCATTCCTGTAGCTTGCGGCAGCTCTGCTCTGGGTGCCAACCCTTTAATTTTCTAAATGCCCCAAACTGTACGTACACTTAGTATTGCACACATCTTTTATAAATTCTGCATTGTATTTGCTTTTTCTAAATGATGCTAAACATAGAAGTAGAGCACTAACACCCTTTCTTCCTCTGGTTACTCATTCTGCAGTAAACCTTGATTGATCTCATTTGGAAAATGTTTTCTTCCCTAGGTGTATTATTGTGAATGTAAGTTAATGATCTCGTTTAAGTCCATTTAACTAATTTCTCTGTATCCTTCTTTGTGGAATTCACCAGCCATCTTGGCTCTGAAATGTCTTACATTGGAAATGCAGTCGTTTTGTGTTCCCAGCACTGGTTCAGGGCAGGGTAGCTCTCGTTGATGGTGGGCACGCCCCTACTGGGAATGAGGTCGAGCGTAGAAACTATCTGCTTATTGCTTACTGCTTTCCAAGTCTGGCAGTATTTCTTGGATCGGATGGGCGTAGTTTCAAAGCAGGAGGTTGTATTTCAGCTGGGCAATGTTTGGGTCTCCCAACTTTGCTACAATGGTGAACAGGACAAGCTGGTCCTTACAGCAGGAGAGGGAGCACTGCTCCTTTGACACTTTGCCTCTGGCAACATCTGGTTCAAGCGGGGTTCCTGCAGTAACCAAACTAATGTTGCAGAAAGTGTTGAGTAACGTGCCTGCTGTCTTCAAAACAAAAAGAAAGACAACCCAAGACGAGCCCCCTTCCTTCAGCATATCAATTGTAAATTGTCTTCTGGTTCCTGTCAAGGTAGACGTGCTTGCTTTCTGGCTTTCCTTGCGCCCCAGCGCTGCGGTAGCTGTGAGCAGGCAGCACCTTGCTTTCTCCGGTAAAGCTCCGGGTCGCTGTGGGTCTGCCGGGGCGAGGGCGAGTTTCCCCGGTGCCCGTCCTACCTGGGCTGCTCCGCTCTGCGGGGGACGTGGCTGAGGTTTTTCCGTTCGCCGGGGCAGCGCGGTCAGTGCCGGCTGGCGGCAGCTCCCGGCATAA